CTTTTCTGTCTTAGTGGAGAATTTGTTATACTTTCACAAGAAGGTATAGTAATACTAAATGTAGTTTGCGACATCCACTACTTCCATCCGAATAGTTTGAATAACAAAGTCAACAATGTAAACACAACAAAACTATTCAAAATTATTGGATCCTAGTTTTAAGTGGAACTCCTAATTAATCAAACATTTTCATGATCAGCCTTTACTAATATCATCATTTTCCTTGACACCATTATTTTCTGATTTACCATTTTCCTTAGCAACATTACCCTCTGGATTTTCCTTGACAATATTACTCTCAGACTTCCCATTTTCGTTCACTGTATCAGTATTATTGGCTTCTTCAGCAGCTGCTTCTTTATTTTTCTCCTCTTTCTCCTTCTCAGCCTTTTCTCTCTCTTCTTCCTCAGCCTTCAATTTTGCCTCCTCCTTTGCTGTTTCAAGAGCTTTAATCAATCTCTCCAAACAAGTGTTTGCATTTTCCTTAGAAGACTTGGGCATTAAATTCTCAGCAACATCAGCAGGAGTAATATTAGTTTCCCCCAATAAACGGCGAATCTCAGGAAAGTGATCATGAGATTCAACGTCTAGATAATTATTTGCAAGCACCTTGAAGGAGTCAAAGCAACAGTATGATAGCACAATGTGTTTGTCCATCCTCCCCCTCCGAATTAAAGCAGGGTCAAGCTTTTCCACAAAGTTGGTTGTGAAAACAATAAGCCTTTCACCACCAATAGCTGACCATAATCCATCAATAAAGTTCAAAAGCCCAGATAAAGTCACCTCGCTTTGCTTTTTCTCCTCTCGATTTTTCATCTTCTCCTTGACTGCGTCTTTCTCGTCTTTTACTTCCTCTTCCTTATCGTCTTTCTTCTTCTCCCTTTGGCCGGTAAGGTCAAGCGAACAATCGATGTCTTCAATCACAATGATAGACTTACTAGTAGTATCTATCAATAATTTTCTTAGCTCGGTGTTGTCCTTAACCGCTGTCAATTCAAGATCATAGACATCATATTGTAAG